CTCAATAAAAATAAAACATTCTATAGAATAAATACAAATAGACTATAGATAGAAATACTGAATTATAATGCTATTTTTTAACTGCTGAAGTTTGTAGTGTTAAAGCCTGTTCACACCAAGAGCGATAACTATACAGATAATTGTATTAATGTTCACACCAACACACTGTATTGTCCTGTTTATCATAATCAAGCGCTGCCGCTTTAAATACTCCATCTCTTTAAAGTTTGTGGATTCTGATTGGCTGTCAGTGATTTTAAAGTTCATCAGCTGGAAGAATTACTCTGAAAGTGATTACAATTATATTATTATTGATTCTGATCTGATACTGATCATTATACAGTAGTTGTCATTTGGACGTCACTATCCTCATAGAATTAGGATGATTATTAAACTTTCATATTTATTGTTACAGTTATCATGCTTGGTGTGAACAGGCCTTTATTCAGGTTTGTAATATTACTCAGATTGTCAAACATTTCTGATAGACAGCACTGCTTTCTACATGATGGATGCAATAATAAACGGAAAGGGGGTATTTAGGAGAAATTAAGGTGGGAATAAATAATACTAATAACATATTTGTGACCCTGGATGACAAAACCAGTCATAAGTAGCACAGGTTTGTAATACATTGCATGGGTCAAAATTATCGATTTTTCTTTTATGCCAAAAATCATTAGGATATTAAGTAATGTTCCATGAAGACATTTTGTAAATTTAGTATACAATAATATGTAATAAGTAATAATGTAATAAGTAATAAGTATAGTAATATGCATTGCTAAGAACTTCATTTGGACAACTTTAAAGGCGATTTTCTCAGTATTTAGATTTTTTTGCACCCTCAGATTCCAGATTTTCAAATAGTTGTACCTTGGACAAATATGGTCCTATCCTAACAAACCACACATCAATGGAAAACGTATTTATTCAGCTTTCAGATGATGCATAAATCTCAATTTTAAAAAATTGACCCTTATGACCCTTATGGTTTTGTGGTCCAGGGTCACATTTGTTAAAAGTAAATTAAAAACACTATATAACTAAATGTACAAATATAATTAGAATTGTATATATTAAAAGATGTTACATTCAGGTACAATCAAGCTGGTAAAATGTTGACCAAGCAAAATAACATTTGATACATTTAACAGCATTTTGTGGTTGAATGCCTTTTCAAGAAAAACGGCTCATACACAGAATGAATGGCGTGCGTTTTTAAAAAGATACTAGTGTTCATTTACTTTATGGCAGTACTGCACAGCAGAGGTGATCTGTCTGAAGAAGTGTCTGGCCTCCTCCTCTGACAGTCTCTGTTTGTCCTGAATGTAGTCATACAGCTCTCCTCCGCTCGCGTACTCCATCACCATCACAATCCTCTCTCTGCTCTCGAACACTGAAAACACAACACATTTCATTCACAGAAAGATCTCTCTGGACACACACACACGGATGTTGTGAGACTGTTGATGTGATTTACCCTCATACAGACGGATGATATGTGGGTGCACTAGAGAGGCACTGATCTCGATTTCTCTCTGGATGTGAGCTCTATCCAGATCATCCCTCAATCTCTCCTTTCTAATAGATTTAATAGCCACCTGAAGCACACAAACAGACACATTATAAACAAAC